CCATAATCATGGAGGCACTATTTACAATAGCCAAAAGATGGAAACAACCTAGGTGTCCATCAACTGAGGAAAGGATATCCAAACTATGGTACATACACACAATGGAATACTATGCAATCCTAAAGAATAATGTAGAATCTGTAAAACACAGCATAACGTGGATGAACTTGGAAGAAATTATGCTGAGTGAAATAAGTCAATCACAAAAAGACAAATATTTTATTAGTCCGTTATTGTTATAGTCAAGGAAACATTTATCTATGAAAGGTCATTTTCTTTGTTGGTTATTAGGGGTGGGAGAGGAGGGTAGGAAACACTGATAGAGGAAAGTAATGATTTGGGTGAAGAGAATGGCAATGTATCAAATGTGAGTGGCATTAAGGAAGAGAAAGAAATAGAGGTACATGGAAAGTACAGACAACAAAGATGAACCCTTTTGCGCATATAGTACGGCATGGTCAGTGAAGGCAAACACGGGTATATGGGTGGGTAGATGGGTGGACAGGCTGAAATACTAGGTATATATATGAAGTGGAGAGTGCACCCAAGAACACGTATAGGGTTGGCAGACAGTAATCCAATAACTTTATGTGTATGATATGAATTCCCAGGTGTACAATTGGGTTGACAAGGCGCAAGGCTGTAGTCACTGCTTGGTCACTGCCAGCTACCCAGAGGCACCGAGTAGTTGAACCTGTGGACTCAGGACCGTAGTCGGAGAGGACATCAAACTCAATTGGCATAATATACTACACAAAACATTGTTCCACATCCTACTGTGGTGAGTAGTGACTGAGATAGTAAAAGCTTGCAAGCTGCCATCTAGATGCAACGATGGGTCTCTCCTTGTCCAGAGCCAAGAAGAATGAAGAAAACCAAAAATTCATGGAAAAAATTGGTCCTAGCGACTGGTACACCATCCAATCTGCACCCTGTACGACTATGAGACCAGGAGAACTAGATAGTACCCGGCTACTACCGTCAACCACTTGGAAAGGATCTTTGTAGGAGATCCTGGATAGACAGGGAGAACAATGTGGAACAAAACTCAAAATCATTTTGGGGGAAAAAAAAAGTGGGGAACAGGTTTGCTGGCCCGATAGAGCCCGGTGGAACCACTGGGACTATGGCCCCTAGCTGCCCTTTAGGTCCGGAATTAAATGCCCACCTGTGGCTTCTAGCCAAACAACAGACAGGCATATCAGTTGAACATTTACCTGAAGGAGATACACTCCTTGGAGAGAACAAGCATAAGAGAAAGAAGGGCTGCTTATGCACAAGGAGACAGCTCAGGGGGTAGGAGTGCGTGGAGGGAAGGACACAGGGAAGAGATAACTATCGGAAGGAAGGGGGAGGGGAGACGTTGCACTGTGGTAAATTGTGGTCAATGTCATGAGACAAAGTGTATGTTAAATGCTGTATGGAAAGTGTATTTACTCTGTGAATTTTCACCCAAATCACAATAAAAAGAAAGAAAGAAAAAAAAAGAATGTCCAGTTTATCGTAGAGCTGACAAGGGACAAGGTTGTGGTGGCTTTTTGGCCATAGCCAGCTACCTGGAAAGAGCAACTGTTGGCCCTGTGGGCTCAGGACCATGGTGGCAGGGGGCAGACATCAAGCTCAACTGACATAAAATACTACACAAAAAACACTGTTCTACATCCTACTTTGATAAGTAGCAACTGGAGTCTTAAAAGCTTGCAAGTAGCCATCTAGATGCAACAATGGGTCTCTCCTTGTCCAGATCAAAGAAGAATGAAGAACACAAAAGATGCATGGAAACAATTAGTCCAAGGGACTGGCAGACCATGTGATCCTCAGCCTATATATATGACCATGAGACCACAAGAAGCAGATTGTGCCCAGCTACCACTGTCCAACCACTTGGAGGGGTATTAGTGCCAGTGATCCTGGATAAAGTGGGAGTACAATGTGGAACGAAACTCTAAATCATAAAACCCCAAGACTATGGCCACTAGCCACCCTTCAAGTCTGGAACTGAACTCACTCCTGTGGCTTCCAGTCAAATAATATACAGGCATATGGGGTGAACATTTACATGAGTTAGATACATTCCTTGGAGCAATCAATCACGGGAGAACAAAAAGACAGTGTTTGCGCAGGAAGACAGCTTAGGGGGCAGAAGTGCATGGGAGGAAAGGACACAGGCAAGATGTAACTATGGGAAGGAAGTGGGTAGAAAGCTGTTACATGGTGGGGAACTACAGTCAATGTCATGAAACAAAATGTGTATGAACTGCTGTCCAGAAAATGAATTTTGTCTATAAACTTTCATCCAAATCACAATAAAATTACAAAAAAAAAAATCAAAAAAGGAGCTAGTAGGTATAATGGGGGTGAGGTGAGAAAGAAGACCTCGAGGTCCAATAGCAACTGAAAAATAAAATTTCTACGAATAAACTCAAGAAAATAAATGCATACAATCTATATGAAGAAAATCTTAAACTATTCCCAAGAGATTAACGAAGATATAAATAAATGGAATGGTGTTCTGTTAGTAAAAATATGCAGAATCATAAGATTATTCATGAAATAATCCTAAATTAATACATAAATGTAACTTGAACCTAATAAAATGTATTCTTTCTAAGAATGATTAGCAGTTTTCTTCTACAGTGCTTCCTGAGTCTCATTACCTAAAGGAAGACTTTTATTGCTCCCTTTGTTTTCCTAAGCCCCAAATTCACATTCCTAAAGACAAAGGTAATCTTTAGAGTAAAAGTCTAGAATGGCTCTGCTCTAATAAAAAGATAAGATGTCTGATTATTAATGATATCATATCCATGCCAGGCAGGAGTATGTAAGATTAATGAGCAACTTACGTGTTATATCTCTGTATGTAAGTTCAAAGAGCTTTATTTCCTTGAAGCTTCCAGAATTGTGACTAAAGGGCTCTAAATTGTTTTCTACAGTTCTTAAGCCAGTCAATACTGCCATTTTCTTGCTTCATTAGTGGTGACATTTCCCTTCTACATTCACCTCAAAACAAGGCGGAAGAAACTCACTCCAAACCTATATGACAAGTTACATCATTCTAGGTCTATCCAAACCCCTCAAGTTCCATGAAAAAAACCCTCCATTTAATATACCAGACTAGATCATACTACACTCAATCTCACCTTTTGTAATTTTAAGATACAAAAGCAGAAGGACCTTAGGTGAGAAGTTGGAAACTGAATTCTCAGCTTCTTTATATCCCTCCTGCCCTTGCTATGCAGTGAGCAATAATAAATCTAGTCCAAAAGAATGGCTTCCAGTAAAATTTACAATTAGGTATCATCGTAAACTGTTAAAAAGGTTTCCTTGTTCCCTTCAAGTACTCTTGATTTCTTTCATCTATATTTCCAATTAATTCTTCTGATAATCCATTCCATATATAATTATTATAGTAACTTACAATCTTTTTTTTTTTTTTTTTTTTTTTGAGTCACTTATAAACCAGCTACTATTAAAAACAAAAACAAAAACTTGAAACCTACTGCCACTGAATTGATCCAAACTCACTGAAACCCCCACTGGGTTTCCAAGGCTGTAAATCTTTATAGAAGCTGACTACCCCATTCTCCTTCCATGGAGGATCTGGTGGGTTTGAACTGTCAACCTTCTGGTTAACAGTGAAATGCCTTAGGCACTGCACCACCAGAGCTCCTTAGCTGCCATCAAAGTTACTCCTATTCATGGCAACCCCAAGTGTGTCAGAGTAGAATCCTGCTCCACAGGGTTTTCAATGGCTGATTTTTTGAAGATTTCTTCTAAGGCTAGCAGTCAAGTGCTTGAAGCAACTATTTAATGTCTAACAAATCAAAGAGATACTCTCTGATTACTTATCAATTTTCTCTATCGTGTAATTCAACTATATACACTAAAGGCAATACCCAAACTGGATTTTCTATTCCAATGAGACCAGACTTTTTACCAAGTCTTATAAGGCAAAACCAGCTCATTTTTGTCCTGTAACTTTGCTCCTGCTATTTCCTTAAGAAAGTCTTACTTTTGCTCTTAATGTGTAAGAACATGTGTTGCAACAGGAGGAAAGCACTCTAGTATGATTATCTAACATGAATCTGAAGTTTAGAAAATAGAAAATTACTATTCTGTAATAAAAATAAACTCTCATAATGTTGCAAGTATATATATATATATATATATATATTTGAATTTTTATAGTGATTTGGGTGAAAGTTTACAGAGCAAATTCATTTTCCATACAACAGTTCATACACATTTTATCTCATGACATGACTGCTATTTCCCATAACGTAACAGCTCTCTTCCCACTTCCTTCCCATAGTTATCTCTTCCCTCATCCTTCTCTCTCATGCACTCCTGGCCCCGAGCTATCTCCCTATGCATACACTGCCCTTCTGTTCTCCCACAGTTGATCTCTCCAAGGAGTGTATCTACCTGATGTAAATATTCAGCCTACATGCCAGTCTTTTATTTGGCTGGAAGCCACAGGAGTGAGTTCAATTCCAGACCTGAAAGGCAGCTAGAGGCCATAGTCTCAGGGCTTTCACCAGGCTCTATCAGACCAGCAAAAAAAAAATTTTTTTTTTTTTAAATATAATTTTGAGTTTTGCTCCACATTATTCTTCTACTCTATCCAGGATCTCCTACACAGACAAATAGTTGACAGTGGTAGTCGGGCACCATGTAATTCTAGTCTCACAGTCATATAGGCTAAGGATCAGATGAGTTTACCACTCCCTTGGACAAATTGTTTCCATGCATCTTTGGTATTCTTCATTCTTCTTTGCTGTTGTTAGTATATTTAAAACAATTGCAAAAAAGTAGAAAAACTAGTATTTAAAAAATTGCCACTTATCTTAGAAAAGAGAAAGCAGACAGCATCTTAATGTTTAATGAATCATAACATACGGGTTTCTGGCATAGCTGTTCTGTTTAACAATCAGTGCTAAGCTGGTAACAGCACTATCAGATTCAATGTACAAGATTTTGAGATACTATAGATCACTTACCTGCCCCGCTGTGTCTACAAGTTGAAGATGGTATTCTTGCCCATTTACTGTGATCAATTTTGTAAAAGCTACAAAGAAACAGGAAATTAAATATTAGTTAAAACAAAAACAAAGAAGTCTAAACCCCTTTAAGCCTGAATAAAGATAACAAATTAGGTAGGAACCCTAATAGTATCATAAAAAGGTCCACAAACAAAAAAGAAGTTATCTTTGAGTTGTACACATTATTACCCTACTTCCATTATGTAACAAAAAACACTGCCCAATTAACTAAAAACAAGTTTGTGTAAATCTTGAATCTTTTTTTAAAAGAAACTGAAACTAGGAAATATCCTGGCAAAATGATCTGAATGTGTTATCTGTGGACAGTACTTCTTGTGCCGAAAGTGAAAAATATATTACAAGGTTTGAGGTCTTGAATGAATCAAAAGCACAAAACTTTCTGTTTCATTTACAGAAGGTCTGGTGTCAGAGCAGAAAGAGCTAATGTTAATTGAAGCATTAAGAACTTTCAGTACATTTAAAAAAAAAAAAAAATTATTGAAAGATAAAATGGCAATAGAACAGATGTTCTGTTTTTAAAGCCATCATGCCCACTCAGCTTACAGATCATAACAATTTGTCACAATTTTTTTTCTCTCTCAAGGGGGGAAACTACAGACCCAAATAATTTCTGGAAAAGTCAATTTAGAATTCTAAGGAGACAGACTTCAAAGAAGTACAGACAAAAGAGTAGAGAACTATTAACAGCAACAGAGTATTAAAAAGTAACCATTGGAGCCCTGACAGCTAAACAGAATACACTACCCTGCCCAGCTATCACCCCTCAGGGAAGAATCCTCAAACCTATTCTATTTGATGACAGTCCAGCAGCAAAATCTATCCTTGCACAGTGAAAGAGAACCTACTTCTGCTCAGTTTGTCCCATAGTCAAAAGGCCAAGCAACAACAGAGAGATGGAAATGCCAAAAGACAAAGACGACAGACAGATCTCATCTGAATTCTATGAGTTCCACAGGAGAGAAAAAATAGCTGAAAAAAGATGCAATAATCAAAGAGAATCATATTAACACCATACTTTTTTGATCCAAGTAAGGTACTAAAGTCAGGTGAGTGAAGATTACAGACCAGACTAAGCTAAAAGAGTATGACCCTAAAACTGTATATACTGACACACTTACTTTTTTTAAAAAATCATTTTAGTTCCCTTTCTAAAATTACCACTTTAAGGAAATAGTTTAAATAATTTAATAGGAAACCAGAAATCATATGAAAACAAAATCAGAGTAAGTACTGCAAGATGGGGAATATCCAATGTAATTTATTTCATCAATTAAGACGCTTGCATCTAATTAAGATGCTTGCATCTTGCAATCAATGGCACTTTCAATCACTGTCAGCCAGATATCAGTAATTGACATCTTTAATTTATGCAACTAAAGATGCATAAACTAAATACATAAAGATGCATAAATTTTGCTCTTATGCAGAGCAAAAAGTGTATTCTGGATTTGATGAAAAGAAAACAGTAGTGAGCAATAAAGCCAGTAAGCTTCAAGAGATGAGTAACTGTGATTATGAAACGTACTTATGAAAATATTATTATAATAAAAAACTAATTCAGTCAAGAAATATTTCTTGGGGTTCCGGTAAGGTGGTAGACTAGGCATACAAACTACACACACTCTCTTCAACAAAGAAAAGAGGAACCAATTAATACAGATACAGAAGATAATCCTGGAGCCCTGAGCTTTGAAAAGAAGGACACAGAAGTGGACTAAACTCCAACTAGTAGAAGAACCTGCCTGAAAACACCAAAAAAGGAGATGTATGGAGCTGCGGACTGTTAGCAATCCTGACGGTATGGACAACTTGGATATTGACAAGTGGTGTGAGAACCTAAGAATTAACCTAAAAATTGGCCCTGCTAGCCAGGGGCTTCAAGGAGGACTGCACTGGTGGCTAACGAATAAAAGGGGAAGCAGTGAAGAGGGAGATGGGCTGAGCCATGGACTTTTGGCTGTCTGGAAGGCACAGCCATTTTGAATGTTTACAAGCGGTTCGACCATTTTGGATACTGAAAGGGACAGCATTCTCTCAGATTCCAGGGATGAAAGAATAGGCTCCACTTGCCAGGGATGGCACAGGAACATTCCAGACACTGAGGTTTGGAAAAGTGCAACATTCCCCTTGTTACTCTTATACATCAAACCCTGATAGTGGATGGAGGTGTATCCATCCCTCACTTCCACCCACCATTTTGGGCCTGCAGGAATTCCATCCTCATGTGTGTGCTCTGACAAAGCCTAGAAGCCCTGCCTTACCCTGTCCAGATTTTTTTCTTCCTTTCCTCTTTTTTTTTTTAGTTTGTTTTTGCCTGTTTTTAAATTATAATTATTTACATTTTTCTCTTTTTTCGTCCTTTTTATTACTTTTCTTTCTTCCTCCCTTTCCAGGTTATAGTTTTCAGCTTTTTCTCTCTTCCCTTTTCCTGGTTCCCATTTTATCTTTTCTTGTGCTTCTCACCATTCCTTGTTTTTCTATTTGCACTTTCTTTTTTCATTATTCTCCTACTCTGCCTCTTTTCTCTTATTTCCCCACCCCAGAAACTGCAGGTTTGCCCCCTCCTTTTTCTATTCACATTTCTTCTACTTTTTAAAGCACCTCTTTAACTACCTTCTCTTATTGATTTTGCCTTCCCCCCCTTTTTTCCCTTTCTTTTTACTCTTTTTCGTGATAGTTCCTGTGTGTTTATGCGCTGTGTTTTTTGTCCTTTTGCTTTTACTTTTTTTTGATGGTTTTTCGATTGCTGTTTTTGTCTGAGTGAGACAGCAACCGTGTCTATACGACTCAACCACAACCACACCACCCTCCTACAGCTCCAGTTATTGAGTGACACCCACCACTTCCCTCTGCAACAACTGGTGAAAGATACACAACCAACAAAAAGAGCCTGCCTCACCTTAACCACTCTTCACAAACAGTTAACAGAGATCTATACAGCCACTCTCATTTTTCACCACATCCCCCAGGAGACAGGTGGTGAATGCAAAAGTGCTGCCAACTAGCGAATAGAGAAACACAGTACCCCGCTTACCCAGACACATCGGGGGGAAAAAAAAACCCGAAAATTATGGGTGAGTCACTCCAACACTCAACATACAATCACCAATTAAATATAAATACACTGTCAGAATGTCTTGGACACAACAGACCATCACAAACAAGCAAGATAAAGCCGTAGAAACAAGGGACTAAATACAGACACAGAACACATCCCTGAGGAAGCAAAAGCACTGGAACTCCCTGATAAGGAATTCAAAAGAATTATATTTAGGTACTTTCAACGGATTGAGAGGTAGATCAAAGGAAACACAGACAAAATTAAGGAAAACCCTAGAAAAGTTATGAAAGAAAATACGAGAACAACAAAATAAATGAAAAATTAGAAATGATATAAAATCTACAGACAGAAATCCAGTAGATTTATACTAAATTTTGAGAAATAGATAACACTTTGAAAGGGCAAAGGAGTAGACTCTAATCAATGGAATACAGAATTAATGAGCTTGAAGACAAATACCTGAATACATCTTTGGAAAGGGATCAACCACAAAAAAGATCAAACCATAATTAAGAAAGCCTAAGATTTACGTGGGATACCATCAAAAGGAATAACCTATGTGTAATCAGTATTCCAGAGCTCTGATGGTGTAGTACCTAAGGTATGTGACTGCTAACCAGAAGGCTGGTGGTTCAAAGCCACCAGCCACTGCTCAGAAGGAAGGTTGGGCAAACTACTTTCACAGAGACACTGCCTCGGAATCCTAAGAAGGGGTCACTATGACTTAGATTAGACTCCACGCCAGTTGAGTTTGGTTTTTGGTTTTGGAATCAGTATTCTAGAACAGGAAAAGAAAAATAAGACCACTGAGAAAACTGTCCGAGACAGGTTGGAAGAGAACTTCCCCTGATACGATGAAAGATAAGAATATACCCATTCAAGAAGTGCTATGAACCCCAAACAGGCTAGATCCAAAAAGAAAATCACCAAGACATATCATCATCAAACTCACCAAAACCAATGACAAAGAAAGGATTCTGAAAGCAGCAAAGGAAAAACAAAAAGTTACCTACAAAGGGCAAGATTAAGCTCTGATTTCTCAGCAGAAACCATGCAGGTGAGAAGGCAATGGGACAGTATATATAAAACCCTGAAAATGAAAAATTTCCAACCAAGAATTATACACCCAGGAAAAACTGTTCTTCAAATATGATGGCAGAATTAGGACATTTTCGGGTCAGGAGAAGTTCAGGGAATTTGTTAAAAACAGACCAACTTCACAAGACATACTAAAGGGAATCCTTTGACCAGAGAACCAATAACAGCAAACATCAACTGACCATCATTAATACACATGATGACATAACCCAGAAACCAATAGACCTAAGGGAGTATCCAAAGTAAAATAAGCTTACAAGATTGTAAACCAGGAACCAGAGATATCAGTTGGCAAATGAAGACAACTACAAACCAAAAAGCAGGTAAAAATAGTGTAGTTACAGAACTTCTAAATGGCCAGAAAAGTAAAGTGAGTTGCAAGATACAATGGACTGTTCTAAACGTGGGGAGAAAATTATAAATCACAGCATAACCTCAAAGAAAAATGATAAATGATAAAAAAGAGGACAAGCACAAATATTTAGCAAATACTAAAACAAGAGGAATAAAGGACATGAAAACACGATTCATAAACAAAATGAGCTCAGCATAGAAAATTGTATCAAAATGAGCTCAGTACAGAAAATTATATGAAACAAAGAAACTAGGAACACCATGAAAAAACATATAAAAAATGATAGCAACAAATTCATACTTCTCCATAATTACAGTGAATGTCAATGGATTATATGTACCACTCAAGAGACAGAGAGTTGCAGATTGGATAAGAAAACTCAACCCATGAACATGCTGTCTGCAGGAGACTCATCTCAGAAACAAAGACAAAAATTGATTAAAAATCAAAGGCTGGAAAAAGATAGAAGAAGCAAATGGCAACCAAAAATGAGCAGGAGTGGCAATATTAATTTCTGATAAAACTGACTTTACGACAAACCACCACATGAGACAAGGAAAGACATTATATAATGATTAAAAGATCAAACAAGAAGATATAAACATAATACATATCTATGAACCTAATGAAAGAGCCCCAGAATACATAAATCAGACTTTAACAGAATTGAAAAGACAAATAGATGACTCCACAGTCATAGCAGGAGACTGTAATACACCACTTTCCATGAAAGATAAAACAACTCAAAAGAAACTCAACAAAGACACAGAAGAACTAAACAATACATTCCACCAACTTGACCGCACAGACATCTACAGAGCACCTCATCCAACAACAGCACAATATACATTCTCTTCCACTGCACATGGAACACTCTCCATGACAGACCGTATGTTAGGCCATAGCAAGCCTTAATAAATTTAAAAGCAATGATACACAGCAAAGCATCTTCTCAGATCGCAATGCTATCAAATTAGAAATCAACAATAGGAAGATCAACAGAAAAAGAGCAAACACATGGAAATGGAATAACATTCTCCTGGAAAATGACTGGGTACTAGAAGAAATTAAAAAAGGAAATTAAAAAATTCCATGACTCAAAGAAGAAGGAAAACACAACATATAAAATCTTTGGGACACAGCAAAAGGAGTGATCAGAGGCCAATTTATAGTAATACATGCAAACATCAAACAAGAATGGGCCAAAATCAACACCTTAAACCAATATCTCCAAAAATTAGAAAAAGAACAGCAAGAAAAGCCCAATCACCAGAAGAAACAAAGATTCAAGCAGAAATCAATGAAACAGAAAAAAATCAGTAAGAATAGAAGTTGGTTTTCTGAAAAGATTCATAAAATGGATAAACCACTGGCAATTTAACAAAAGAAATGAGAGAATACAAATAATATGAGTAAGAACTGAGCAATATCACAACAGAACCATATAAAATAAAAAGGATAGTATCAGGATACTATGAAGAATTGTACTCCAACAAATTTGAAAATCTAGAAGAAATGGACAGATTCCTAGAAAACACACCACTTACCTAAACTAACACAGACTGAGGTGGAAAAGTTGAACAGACCCAGAACAAAAGAAGAAATTGAACAGGTGATCAAAAAATTACCAACAAAAAAAGTCCTGGCCCAGACAGTTTCACTAGAAAATTCAACCAAATGTTCAGAGAAGAACTGACACCAATCCTACTCAAACTATTCCAAAACATACAAAAGGATTGAATCCTCCCTAATTCATTTTATGAAGCAAACATAACCTTGATACCAAAACCAGGCAAAGACATCATGAAAAAAGGAAAACTACAGACCAATATCCCTCATGAATATAGATGCAAAAATCTTCAACAAAACACTAGCCAACAGACTCCAACAACATATCAAGAAAATAATACATTATGACCTAGAGGGGTTCATACCAGGTATGCAAGGATGATTCAGCATTAGAAAAACAATCATCATCATCCATCACATAAATAAAACAAAGGAAAATAACTACATGATCATATCAATCAATGCAGAAAGGCATTTGCTCAAATCTACCACCCATTCTTTATAAAAACTCTCAGCACTATAGGAATAGAAGGGAAATTCCTCAACATAATAAAGGACATATATGTGAATCCAAAAGCTAACATTATTCTCAATGGAGAGAGACTGAAACCATTACCCTTGCAAACAGGAATCAGACAAATATGCCCTCTATCACCACTTCTATTCAACACTGTATTGGAATTCCTAGCCAGGGCAATTAAGACATGAAAGAGAAATCAAAGAGATCCAAATTGCTAAGGAAGAAGTAAAAATTATCTCTGTTTAATGATGATAGATATGATCCTTGTGATAGTTGAAGATGTGTCAACTTGGCTGGACTCCAGTTGTGAGTGATGGTTCCCATGATGAATCACATGACTGCATTCTAAGCGGCCGGTCGGCCTAGGGTGAGTTTCCCCAGGGATGTGGCCTACCTGTAATGCTATCCCAGGGACAAACTGGAAGAACGGCATTCCGGACTATATACTTCCTGGAGCGAGCAGCTCGCTGCTCGCCCTGGAGGTTTTCGGATTCATTCTTTGTTGGGAACAGCGACCAGC